ATTCTGGGGGCTGGAGAGATGGCTCAGCAGTTAAGAGCACTGACTGCTCTTGCAGAGGACCTGAGTTCAATTCCCAGCACCCACATGGCAGCTACAACTGTCCTTAACTCCAGTTCCAGGGGAATCCAAAGCCCTTTTCTGACCTCTACGGCATTGCACGACACAGTTGCACTCACATATATACAGGCAATACACTCATACACATAAAATAAAATAAAAAATAAATAAAATAAATTTCCCCCCTGAGCTGAGGACCGAACCCAGGGCCTTATGCTTGCTAGACAAGCAGTCTACCGCTGAGCTAAATCCCCAACCCCATAAAAAAATATTTTTAAAAAGAGCACTGACTGTTCTTATAGAAGATGGGGTTCGAATCCCAGCACCCACCCGGCAGCTAACAACCATCTGTAACTCCAGTTCCAGAGGAGCCGATGTCCTCTTCTGTCCTCCTCAGGCACTGCATGCCACAGGTGCACTTATACACATGCAAGCATAACACTCACAAGACTTAAAGTAAATTATAAAAATTTAAAAAAATAAGAGTGCAAATGGATAGTTATTGCACAGGTGGCCCTCAAACGTCCCAAATACCCCCCCACACCCTTACCACATAGCAGCTAAAGAGGGGCCAGCTCCCAAGAGAGGCTCAGCTTTTCCTCAGATACCAACATGTTTGAAGCCCTGGCCTAGCTTCCAGATCAACTCAGCAAGGATAATCTCAGTCTGAGTGATTCCATTTCATCTCTTACCAACTCTTGCCTCTCCCCTGAGGTTTCACAGCAACCTTGAGTTCCAGCCTACCCCACCTGCTTTTAGGTTCTTTATTTCACTTGACTGCTAGCAAACTCAGATGGGAGTCCTGTGTTCATTTCCAGTGGCTTTTGTGAGCCTAGATTTTTTTTTCCCAATCATAATTATTCATTTCCTTCTGCCTTTGTTCCTCAGCCATCAGGTCCTTTTAGCTGAGTTTTAATGGTTTTATCACTTTATCTTCTCTCTTTTATATAAGCTGCCTTTGAGGCTGGCATAAATAATAAATGAATAAGTGAATGAACTTCCTCTTTGACATAAGGACAGGCTGTCTGCTCCACATTTCACCAGGGCCAGCGAGGCCTCATCAGCCCCCTCCCCTTCTAGTCACTCTGCTGCAGAGCTTCTCCACACCCTGGATTCACACTGGAGCCCTGGCCTTTTTGTTCAAGTTCCTCCTCTGCCCCTTCAGGTAGTGGGGACAGTCCTACAGACCCCTCCCTACTGCTTTGCACCAGCCCCTTACCTGCATTACCTCAGTACTTACTCGGACCCCTTCCAGGACTTAGGGGACCCTCATCTCATAGCCTCTGTGCCTTCACTCTCAGCCTCCCTAAACTTTTAGGTGACTTATAGCTACAAACACCAGGCCCATCGAGCTATTTTTCTAAGTTTGCCCCAGTAGCTCACACCTCATCCTCCGGGCCTACTGTATTCTTGATGTCACTTCCTAACTTAATTCATGCACATTCCTTCCTTGGCATCAAATGACCTTTCTCCTTCATCAGAATCCCTGACCACCTTTGAAGATCCCATTCAAGATTCTCTCTCCTGGGACGTCTCCTCGGGTCCTCTGAGCCCCCTGAAACGCTGTGCTCGGCCGCCCTCACTGACAGCAGGTCTGAAAGGGAGGGCACATTTGAGAAGCAGCTGAATTGGGCAACCTGCATTAGCAGAGTTAGGTAGAGCAGGAGCTGGCTGGGGTGTTGCCTGAGATCAAAGCAGAAGTCCCAGGGGCTGCTGCAAGATCCTGAAAACCTGGCAAAACTCAGGACTACCATCAACTCCAGGTCCACCGAGTTAAGATGAGACACCAAGGGTCTGGGGCAATTCTCTGATCACTCAGTTATCCACGGCATTAAGCAAAAGCACCCGCACAACTAGGAAAGTGCAGGCCCCGTTCCCACTGGTGCAGAACTCCCCCGCCAGACCGGTCCCAGACAGCTCTGCCACTTTCTCTTGGCTTCGGGGGACCAGAGTGGAGAAGCTGCCAGCACGCCCCACATTGTGCGCCCAAAGCTCGGGCCGAACTCCCAGTGCCACTTGCCCGGTCCTCCAAACCCCCGCAGCCGGCTCCTGCCCCAGCTCAGTGCAGCTGCCCAGCCGGGCGGAGGCACAATGGAGCCGGCTCGGCCTTTACCCCTGGCTGCCCAGCCCCGGGTGCCGGTTGCCGAGGCCCTGCCGGGCGGAAGCCGAAGTCTCCCGCTGGCTCCCAGCATCCCCGGCTCTCTAGGTGCCGCGCTTCCTGCCCGCCTCCGCCCGCCTGAGCGCAGCCGGGCCCACCTAGGCGCGCAACCGGGAAGACGCTCGGGCAACGGAGTCCGGGCAGGAAAGGGCCTGCGAGGGCAGGCGCGGGGCGGGGACTGCTGCCCCACCCAGCCCTGCCAAGGGCCGCCGGTACTGCCCCCTGCAGGTTCCCAAGCGCCAGGCCCAGCCGATGACCTCATTAACCACCTCCCAGCCTGGGCTTGCTGATACACCCATTTTACCAGATGAAGACACCAAAGCATAAGAGGGTGAAATAACTTGCGCAGGTTTTCCCAGGTGGGAAGTGACAAGTCAGAACCAGAATTCCAGGTCCAGGTCTTTCTTCCTCAGCCCAGGTCCCTTCTAAAACATCATCTCCAGAGCTTCCTTCTCTCTATTCCTAGTCACCTCCACAGCTTACCTTCACGCACAAACTTGATCCCTTCTTGGGTCCTTCCTTCTGTGTCATTCAGACCCAAGATCTCTAGGGGTGGCCTCTGGTCACTTTGGCCAGGAAGGAAGAAAAATGGGGACTGATAGGCAGCTCCCACCCCAACCTGCTCTTCCGGTCTAACATCCTGTCATGGTTTAGCCTTGGGACTTCTGGGTCCTCAAAACCCCCACCCTTATCCCTGAGCTTCCATTCAAGGAACACCCAAGGCTCACGTAACTGAGATGGCAGAGCTACCTATGACTCCCAGTCAGGACACGCCTCCACATGCAAACATAGGTGTGCAATGTGCCTATAACAGAGGTGTGCAATAGGGTATTCAAGAGAAAGGCTCCCCAGGGCAGGGCTGGGAAGAGGCTTTTCCATCCAGACAGAAGACAATAGTGATATTTCATTTAGATGATTGTCCATTCATTCACTGTGTGGTGCTGGGCTAGTACTAAGCACTCACTCCCACAGGTCAGGCCTGATACTGAGCCCTGGGCTGTCCACCAGAACAGGGCATGCAGGGAACCTCCACCATGTTCACAATGGTTGCTCCTCAGGAGCAGAGGCAAAATGTCAGAAAGAAGACTGGTTGTTGAGGCCCGTGCCTTTAATCCCAGCACTCAGGAGGCAGTGGCAGGTGGATCTCAGAGATCCGGGCCAGCCTTGTCTACATACTGAGTTCCAGGCCAGCTAGGGCAACAGGGAGACCTTGACTCAAAAAACAAACAACAGCTATAAAATGTTAGGAAGAGGAAGTTACTACCTGCTTCTAGCAGAGGAGATGACATTTGAACTGGATGTTAAAAAGTAAGTCAAGCCGGGCGTGGTGGCACACACCTGTAGTCCCACCACTTGGGAGGCAGAGGCAGGTGGATCTCTGTGAGTTCAAGGCCAGCCTGGTCTACATAGTGAGTTCCAGGGCAGCTGGGGCCACAGGGAAACGCTGCTTCAAAAAGACCAAAAAAAAAAGGGGGTGGGGGGGTCTGGAGAGATGGCTCAGTGGTTAAGAACACTGTTCTTGCAGAAGATCCGGGTTTGAATCCCAGCACCCAGATGGCAACTTAACAACTGTCTGTAACTCCAGTTCCAGGGATCCGATATAGCCTCTTCGGTCCTCTGAGGGCATTGCACAACATGGGTGCACTCACCTACATGCAGGCAATACACGCATACACACAAAATAAAGATAATAATAAATAAAAAAATTTTTTTTGGTCTTTTTGAGACAGGGTCTCCCTGTAGCTCTAGCTGCCTGGAACTCACTCTGTAGATCAGGCTGGCCTTGAACTCACAGAGATCCACCTGCCTCTGCCTTCCAAGTGCTGGATTAAAGGTGTGTGCCACCACGCCTGGCTAATAAAAAATATATATATTTTAAAGTAAGTCAGAAGAGCATTCTGGACAGCAGGGAAAATGGCACATTTGCATTTAAGAAAAGTTCTTCCAGGTTTGTTTAATGGGGATGAGCATCTCCATGGATGTGCACTCAGGGGTGGCATTTAGGGCCTAGAGGCCTCCTCTAGTTTCATTCCACTTACTTAGCCATGGGAAGCCAGCTGTCACCTGGCTGCAGTGATAGGACATTGCTCAGAGCAAACCATTCCCCTCCCCTGTGGGTATGACAGCCATGTGGGTTTTATTAACATATAATTTGACTGGCCTCTTGCAGACAGAGAGCTGTGAGTCATGCTGTGGGTATGTCCTCTGTTGTCCAACCTCAGGATGGAGGTCCAGGTAGAAGACTGTCTTGGTCAACTATACCCTCCAGCACTGTGCACAGGGCCTGACACAGAAACGGAAGCATGCTGAGAACCTGATCGTTAAGTCCAAGCAGGTGGGCACATCGGGAGAGAAGGCCCATTTCCAGGCATACCTGAGTTGGCAAAATGCACTTATGCCCAAATGGACAAGTTACTGGAACTAGTGGGAGCCAAAGCAGGTGGGTCACAGAAGTAAAAGCACAGTGTCTGGAGAGCTTGCTTGTCACTTCTCCCTCAGTTTCCTTTGCTGTAAAAGGAGATGGTAGTGCTAACCCTAGTCCCCTCAGAGGGTTGCTGTGGGAATCTAAAGAGCTCTCTTTGTGAATTTGTGAACCATTCCTTAAGTATTCTCTGTGCCTGACTGACCCTTGCTGGCTTTAGAATAGCTCTTTGCTTTCTTTATTCCCTGTGGAATTTATAAATCAAATGCTTTGAATTTTAAAATGTTTTATTTTGACAGGTATAGTGGTACATGCCCTTACCCCCAGCACTTGGGAGGCAGAGGCAGGTAGATCTCTGTGAGTTCAAGGCCAGTCTGGTCTACATAGTGAGTTCCAGGCCAGGGGGCTACAGCAAATGCTTTGAATTTTAAAATGTTTTATTTTGACAGGTATAGTGGTACATGCCCTTAATCCCAGCACTTGGGAGGCAGAGGCAGGTAGATCTCTGTGAGTTCAAGGCCAGTCTGGTCTACATAGTGAGTTCCAGGCCAGCTGGGGCTACAGGGAGACCCTGTCTCCAAAAGACCAAAACTAACTAACAAATAAATAAATGAATAAATAAATAACAAAAAGTTTATTTCTTCCAGAATGATTTACATTTTGGGTTGGAGTATAGCTCAGTGATAGAGAGTACATGATTAGTACTGGGAGGCGAGGGTTACATTTTATTTATTTAGACCAGGCTGGCCTCAATCTCACATAGATCTGCCTATCTCTGCTGGAACTAAAGGCATGTCCTACCATGCCCAGCTTTTTGTTTGATTGTTTTGGAGGGATTTTTTTTTTTTTGAGGATTTACATTTTAAAAGAACAAGTAGAAGGGTTTTGAAGCCGAGGCCTGTAATCCTAACAATTTAGGAGGCTGAGGTAGAAGAGTTACAAATTCAAGACCTTCCTGGGTTACAGAGTCAGTTCAAAGCCAACCTAGGTAACCTAGTAAGATTTTTGCCTCAAAATTTAAAACAAATTTTTAAAGGGATATGATTCAATGGTACAGTGCTTGCTTAGCATTTGCAAGGTCCTAGGTTCAACTCCATAAGTAAATAAATAAATACAAAAGAGAAAGAGTAAAGAAGAATCTGAAGGAAAATTAGTTCATAGTAGTGGCTCATGCCTGTAATACCAAGATTTAGGCTGAAGCAAGAGGGTTTCTTGGAGTTCAACGGAAGCCTGGGTTACATAGTCAGACCATGTCTCAAAAAGGAAGGGGCCTAGAGATGTATCCAGTTGGTATAGTGCTTGCCTAGTATGCACAAAGTCCTGGATTTGATGCCTGGGACTGATAAACCAGGTGTAGTGGTACATGCCTATAATCCCAGGACTTGGTGGGTGGAGTCCAGAGGATTAGAAATTCAAGGTCATGGGGCTGAAGAGATGGCTCCGTGGTTAAAAGCACTGACTGCTCTTGCAGAGGACCGAGGTTCAATTCCCAGCACCCACATGGCGGCTATGAACCCTCCTTAACTCCAGTTCCAGGGGAATCTGAAGCCCTCTTCTGACCTCCTTGGCATTACACAACATGGGTGCACTCACATACATGCAGGCAATACACTCATACACATAAAATAAAAATAATAAAGAAAATATTTTTAAAAAAGTTCTGCC